TATTACTGTTCTTGATTGGCCAGCAAACTCGCCTGACCTTAACCCTATAGAAAATCTGTGGGGTTTTGTGAAGAGGAAGATGCGACACGCCAGACCCAACAATGCAGAAGAGGTGAAGGCCACTATCAGAGCAACCTGGGCTCTCATAACACCTGAGCAGTGCCACAGACTGATCGACTCCACGCCACGCTGCATTGCTGCCAGGGCTGGACTGGCCATCTGGCATACCGGGCATTTGCCCGGTGGGCCGACGTGCTTTGTGGGCCGATACATCTCATACTTCTTTTTTTTTTTTTTTTGTCTGTCTGAACGGCCCATAAAACTCGTACATCGGCGACCCATTGCGTTTAGTTTTGTTTAATTGGCGGTACTGGGATCTTTGTGCCGGTGTAATGCATTGGACAAAAAAGTCAGCGTAGGTTTTTCTTTTTCTCACAGACCGGCGCATGAAACGCGTAGATCAGCGGCCCATTGGTTATTTTCTTGATTGACACTGGGCTGGTCCAATCGCATCTTTAAACTCCTCCCCCTTTGAGCTCTGAGTGAGCGAGCAGTGTCAGTGTGTATCTGTCAAAATAGTCAGAGCGATGGAGAACAAACGCAAGGAATGTGCAGAGAAATAGCGTGAAAAAAGAAACTTCAAAGGCCCTTCAAGTGGCTGATGAGGAGGATAGTGAGGAGGATAAGGAGAGAGATGAGTGAGTGTAGAGAACTGTGGTAAGCAGAACTAGGCTACTTCCAGAACACTTACGCTATGTAGGAACCCACTACCCAGTTACGCATTATTTCCACATCTGTATATTTGACGATTACGCATTTTATTAGAATTGTAATGAGACAATAATGAGTAATGAGTTTGTAAACCATGTTTTTCTTCAAAATAAAAGCTCGATGCCGTTTCCGTCAAAATAAAAGATCATGTGCTTATCTCTGTATAGAAATTAGTACGAAACTAATTATGAAAGTTGCTTTTATTTTTCAGTGCATTTGTTTTACAACATATGGCTATTACTGCCATGGGATTAATATTATAACTATTATTAAGTAGTAGTATAATGTAGACAGACACTATATCACAACTAAAAGAGTTTTGAGTTTTTCTTTGTTCAATTTGCACACTGAATATGGGTTGGAGCTCTTTATTTTGAACTCTCAAAGTGCACCAGATTGATGAATTTAACATTTAAAAAGCACAAAATTTTCTTACGGGGGAGCATGCCCCCGAATCCCCCCAGAGGGACAGAGGTGCACTCACCACAGATTTCACAAAATCCTGTGGGAAAAAACCCGTATTGCTATCCCAGCTTATAGCTTTCTTTAGGATTCATCACTGTGGAGTATTGTTCAACTTAGTAGTTATTTCATCGGTTAACTCTTACTCACTCCTATTCACTTATGGCATTAGTGGTTTTAATAGGAGTTGGTATACATATTCAAGGGCGTGCAAAGTTCGGTTGTGTTATATAGTGGGCCACTCTGGGCCAAAATGCCCGGGCCAATTTTTTGTCCCAGTCCAGCCCTGATTGCTGCAGTAATTCAGGCAAAAGGAGTATTGATCCCAACTAAGTATTGAGTGCTGGACATGCTCATACTTTTCAGTTGGCCAACATTTCTAAAAGTCCTTTTTTTGCATTGGTCTTAAGTAATATTAAAATTTTCGGAGATACTGAATTTGGGGTTTTCATTAGTTGTCAGTTTTAATCATTAAAATTAAATTAAATGCATTTGAAATATATCAGTCTGTGTGTAATGAATGAATATCATATACAAGTCTCACTTTTTGAATGGAATTACTGAAATAAATCAACTTTTTGATGATGTTCCAATTATATGACCAGCACCTGTATTTTTAGATACCAATCATAAGAGCTGTAAAAAATAAGCAATTAATCTAGGAATATGAATGCACTTCGATCATAATATTGTACAGCAGTTGTCATTCACATTTTGACTTAACAAAAGGAAGACTAAACTAATCTCTGATCACAGATTTCACTTGTTTTCTGTTATTAAATCAGGGTTCACTTGAAAATTCACATTTATCCTCCAGAACTCATTCTAACAACCTAATATGTTTTAATGTTTCAGACTTGATGGAAGTGAAAGAGCAAAGACAAGAACTGAAGTTAAAGGTGATGATGCTGTAGTTTGTTTCAGCCTGTTGACACCAATAAAACGATTTAATGTGCCAATTTACAGAAGATCTCAGACATCACCATAATGAATGAGCTGAAAACAGGGAACTTTTGGAGACAAAGAGGTTTTTCAGCTGCTCAGTTTAACATGATGGCCCTGTACTTTTTAAATGCAGATTGGATAAAAACACAGTGATCACAGTTCACACCTGCAGTGAAGCCCCTCCCACAACAATTCACCAATAAATACTGGGAATATTCCCATCATCCTACAAGAGAAGGACAAACTCCAGGAGTAGCAGCTGAAATCTGTGTGACTGTTAAAGATGGAGTTTATTAAAGAGGAGATTGAAGACATGAGTGATCCAGAACCATCCAGAATAAAACATGAAGATACTGAGGAACAAATAGGTTGGTGTCCATTCTTGATTCTTCATTGATGATTTGGTGGCTGTGAATTATTAAGCATATGGATGATAGAGAAATGCATATAAATAAACATAACCTTTATAGCAGTTGTCAAACAAATTTTAACTGTTAACAAGTGAATGACAGAATAACAAGTGAAAGATCTGGGGCCTCATGTACAAAGACTTGCGTTGAATTCATACTAAAACATTGCGTACGGACAAAGCTGTAAATGTGCGTACGCACAAAAAAAAGCAGATGAATGAATCTCTGCGTACGAAGGATCCCACGCCTATTCTCTTTGTACATCCCAATTAACGTAAAATTGAGCGCACGAGCACAACGCCCCACCCAGTCTCCTCCCCCAATGAAATTAATTTAAATATGGTAATTAGTCCAATTTGGCAAAAGAAACCTGCAAGAACGTGGCTAAAGCAAGCAAGAAACGAAATTTCACTGAAAATGTATTCTGTGTGAAAGTGTAATTTATTCCTGTGATCAAAGCTGAATTTTCAGCATCATTTCTCCAGTCTTCAGTGTCACATGATCCTTCAGAAATCACTCTAATATGATGATTTGATGATCAAGAAACATTTTTGAGTATTATCAGTGTTGAAAATAGGTGTGCTTCTGCTTCATATTTTCGTGGAAACCGTGATATAGTATTTTCAGGATTCTTTAATGAATAAAAACTTAAATCAAACAGATATAGAAATCTCATAATCTTTTGCAACATTATAAATGCATTTACTCTCACTTTTAAACAAATTCAATGTGTCCTTGCTGAATAAAAATATTACTTTCTTTTTTTATCTTTACTGACCGAATTAATGAAGTTTATTTTTTATTCCTAGTTAAGCCAACACTGCCATTGCTAGACGGGTTGTATCAATTTGCACATGCTTTATATATGTTCTTACTTAATTCCATAATAGAATATTTTAATAAGACTCGTGTGACAATATGTCAAATAATTTATCAATTACAAATTATAAGCAATATCTGACAGCTGGTGGTGCGATAGAACAATTCGTAGTGTAATGTTTGCCACTTCACTTTATTGCCTCTATGAGTCGCCAACGTAGGGGTGGGCAATATGGCAAAAATATCATATCACGATTTTTTTCAGGAAAATCACGATTAACGATTTTATCACGATTCTTTTTCATGTTGGTTTTACTATTTTGCAAGTGACTGAGCATTACAGCCAAACTAATGTCCCTATTTAAAAAAAAAAAAAGCCTTATAGGTAACAAAAGAAAAAAGAATGGCAGAATTTAGGCCAAAGTGGCGAAGATAAAAATCTTTATCATTATTTTCTTTGTTATTAAGAATTAGGAACAAAGATACACATTAAGCATACACAACTTAATATACAAATGAAATAAACAGTGCTTTATTTTTTCAGCTACAGTAGGGGTATTTAACAGTAGCATTGAAGAAAGTAATTAGGCTAAATGAACGAATACGAAAATAAAACAACATAGACTTCACTGTATAAATTATACATTGATTATTATTAAAGCTACTACTAAAGTTCTCAGTCAAGAGCAGTGAGTGATTTCCTCTTTGTGTTTTGTTGTTTTATTAACATTAAAGGGATAGTTCTCCCAAACATTTTAATTGTCATCATTTACTCTCTCAAGTTGTTTTAAACCCGAATAAGTGTCTTTCTTCTGTTGAAAATAAAAGTTATTTGGAAGAATGTGGCTAACCAAACAGTTGCTGTACTCCAGTGACTTGTATGTTTTCCTACTATGGAAGTCAATGGGGACCAGCAACTGTTTGGTTAGCCACATTCTTCCAAATAACTTTTATTTTCAACAGAAGAAAGAAATTAATACAGGTTTGGAACAACATTAGAGTGAGTAAATAATGACAGAATTTTTATTTTTGGGTGAACTATCTCTTTAAGGACAAGGGGCAGCTTGTTTACTAACTGGCTACTGTCGCTTTAAGAACTGCACGCGACGCGTCTAATATACACGCATTTGACAAGCAGATTTTCTCTCATTTTTTTTCTGTTTGCTTTCACTTTAGACATAACCAACTTTGTTTATGTAAACCTTGTGTGTATTTGACAATATTAGCGCAATAAGACTCGAAAGATAACTTATAACGTAGTCCAGTAAACAGACGCTGTTAGACAGGCTTTTAGTGCCCGTGTGCTTCGGGTGTATGCGCTCAGAAAGCACACGTCAGAACAGCGCATCAGCACGTGAATTACATGTTTAACCAGCAAGGCTTTAAAGCACATGCAAATAATGAACTTCTGTGAACTGCAGTGTCCCGTTCTTTTGCGTTAACATTTGTTGTATGTTGAGACGGAGCTCGGCGCCAGAACTGCAACTGATAAAATGCACGATACTACGATATTTCTTCAAAAGCAGATCGTGGAGACATTTTAATCGTCCACGATCAAAAACCGTGATATCGCACACCCCTACGCCAACGGACAAAAATCACGACAAATGTACGTACGCCAGACATGAAGTTTACTTGGAGGAACGCACATTCTTACGTTAATTTCACTGTTAGTACATCTGGTCGTGAACGTGAAAGCTGGCGTACGCCGTGTTTTTGTGTGTACGCAGTGTTGATACATGAGGCCCCTGATCTCTGTTGCTTTCTGCTATTAAATAAGGGTTCACTTGAACTGATTCTAACTGTATTTCTGTGTATTTTAGACCAGGTGAGAGTGAAAGAGCAAAGACAAGAACTGAATGAAGTGGAGGAGGAACATCGTAACTTTACAATAAAAAGAACAAAAACCAAAAAGACGCACACCTGCACTCAGTGTGGAAAGAGTTTCACACAGAAAGGAAACCTTAACAAACACATGAGAATTCACACTGGAGAGAAACCGTATACATGCTCTCAGTGTGGAAAGAGTTTTTCTCAAGCATCAACTCTCAGTGTTCATCTGCGGATTCACTCTGGAGAAAAAATATTTAACTGTGATCAGTGTGGTAAAGATTTTATTTCATCATCAAATCTAAAATCTCACCTGAAAGTTCATTCAGATGAGAAGCCTTATGTGTGTTCTCTCTGTGGAAAGAGTTTTTCATGGCTGAACAGTTTTAAACTGCACCAGAAAACACACAATGAAGTGAGAGATTATATGTGCTTTGACTGTGGGATGAGATTTACTACATCTGGTGATCTGAAACGGCATCAACGAGTTCATACTGGAGAAAAACCTTACAAGTGCTCATATTGTGACAAGAGTTTCACTCATTCTGGAAACCTGAAATCACACGAGCGAGTTCATACTGGAGAGAAGCCGTACGCCTGTACTCAGTGTGAGAAGAGTTTCACCCAATCAAAGAATCTAGTGACTCATATTAGAAAGCATTGTTCTGTGTCACAGTGAGCAAATGTTTTGTTAGATTAGATAGAGATTTGTTAGAGTAAATGTGTAGTTAGTTAACTAATAAACTAGTGTTGCTGTGAATGCCACAAGATTTGTGTTTTATATGTTGGAGAACAAGAAAATGATTGAAAATTATTTTAATTGAACACTTACTCAAAGAAAATAAAAAATACCAAAATGAAAAGAGACTGGAAAGAAATGCAGAAAAACAACAACAATCAGGTATATGTTCATAAATCAACAACAATTCCCTGAATTCGATTCATTTTTTAATTGTAACATTTGTTAACTATATCATTAAACCCGAAAATTATCGGCCGAAATTTCTTTTTTTTTTTTTTTGGTCTAAAGAAAAAAGGCAGAACAATGACGCCCCACAATGTGTATTGTATGTAATTACAATTAATTATAGTTATTTTTATAAGTAATTAAAAAACAACCTTTTAAGCGTTTTCAGTTAATTGGACTCTTATTAAAGGTGATAAACTTTTGTTTACACTGTGTTCTTTTTGCTAAAATGTATGCAACGTGTTTTGGAGAAAAAAATTTATTTCATAATGTGATTTTCCCCACCCACCCTACACACTGTCAATTCTTTTATTTCAATGAAAGGTTAGATTTTTGGCAATTTTTTTATTGAAAGATCAAAAGGATACACGATGCAGATTTATTTTTTACAGCCAGTTTTGAACATGTTTACCAGGGGTGCCATTAATTCTCTATTAATAAAACTTTTTTTTTTGTCTTAAACAATTATTGTAAATACTTAGAAGAAATCTAACATTTATGCTGCATAATTTTTTCCAGACATCAATAGCATTAGTATCAGTGATAGGTCTACTGACCTTCATTCGTAAAAAGATGCCATTAAACAAGTATTTAAAATATACTGTCTTTATGTTGTCTCTGCATTCATTTGTAGATAAGCTGTGAAATTATTACATTATAAAATATATAAACTAATATAAAAATGTTTGTTTGTAGAATGTTTGAAATGTCAATCTCAAGTGCAATGCCAATTGCAACCTCACTCACTCATACAAAGTCAGTTATTCATCTTGGCAATATTTGCTAGGTATATGGCTGTTTGTGGGGGTTTACCCTAACTACTTGTCTTGCTGGTTATATTGATATTGATGTAGCGACAACGAGAATGAAACCCACACAAGTGAAGCTGTCATACATAATCTTAACTAAAGGAAGGACGTTGTCAATGTTTTATAATTTGGCAAGAACAGATCTGTTCAGAAATGGTAAAACAAGAGGCCCTAACAAGAAGTCACCTGACCCCTGCGACTAAACAGACTGAACCATTCAGGGTCCCGAGCTAGTTTTCCCCTCATCAATTATTATATCTCCTTAAGGCTGAAAAAGTGGACTTGCATACAAAATACCCTTTGTCTTGAAGACAGCCATTTGCGAACTAAACCCTCACGTGGTACACACCACGGATGAGACAAATGCTGACCATGAGGATACACACACACACACACACACACACACACATATATAAGGACTTTCCTCCAATTCTCCAATACCAATAAACTCATCCCAGAACAATTCTTGACTGACCCATAATCAAAATCATGTAACATAATTATATATTGTGTTTACAACCCCTGTATGTGTCTATTCTGCTTAGATCACATCTAAGTCATGTAATTGTTTTAAATATTAGAGATACTGGAATGAAAGTGTCGTGTTTCCTATCATTATGCTCGTATGTTTTTAATTCAATAGGTGGCTTGATTGTAATCTGTGTAAAAATGTTTATGTTCTTAAAATGGAAATTATGTCTAAACTGAATCCTCTGTTCAAGCTGGGGGGGGGGGGGGGGGGGGGGGGGGGTCGGAAAGACCCCCTTCTCAAATAACCATATAGTATCTTATTGTCCGAATTCCGAATTCCTCCAGGAGGCGGGACAAACATTTTGAGTTTAAAATCTTAGACCCGAACACAGAATCCCTGCTTCTTGTGATCCGCTCTTGTGATGCTCTTGTGATGCTCTCTTGCCCTCTGCTCTCTTGTGACTCTCTTGTGATGCTCTTGTGATGCTCTCTTTCGGCAGAACAAGCCGGGTGGAGCCGACGATGGTTATAGTAACCATGAAGACGCAGAGACAAATGACCCAAATCAAGATATGGGTTAAAACAGATTTAATTCAAGCCATCTCGTCACACTTTTCTTTCTTTTCTTAGTTTGTTTCTTTTCCGTTAAAAGTCTCGGTTCTAAGTTAAGTTTTGCTGCAAAGTTTCGTTTAAAACGTTTCGACTGCAACACGCTTCCAACTTCAAAGACTTTCATCCATCCGCCAACACACCACGTGACTGGCTGCCCAAGATCTATCAAGCACGAGGAGACCGCCAGCCAAACCACGGACCCGGGAACCTCCTTCACGACAAAAGGGAACCCCAAAGCAAGGACAAGCAAGTACCTCCAGACTTTTAGCTGAAACTGCAGGTGCATTTTAATATCAAATTGAATTACCCGCCTAAGAAACGATACAAGGGTGAAATTAATTATTGATGGTTCGTTCAGGTCATGTCTTTTAAGTGCATATAGAAACTTGGGATCTCACCATCTAACTCCTAAAACTCATTCTTCCTCACTCTCTGTCTTTCTTCAACTTGTATGAATGCGTGTGCGTGTGTTTGTGTTATATTAGTTTTATGTGTGTTAGTCATAGGCTTATAATCAATAAAGTATTGTTTGTATTTGAAAAGAGAAGCATTACTTGTGTTATGTGCTTACAGATTTATTGTCTTGAACTTCGATCTAAGTTACCCATGCTTTGACCCTTGATTTATTTCTTAATTTAGCTGTTAGCTGGGAATTAGTCTTTCTTGGCCAAGAAGATATTATATTTCCTAGAATTAATAATTGTTTATGCTTTCCGTTCATTGGATGAACTGATAAACTGATCATACTATTGATTTTGCTACAGTAAATTCTGAAAATAATTCAATTATTAATTATTGATCATAATCCGTTATGAATAATAATTAATTATATTTATACGTGCGTATAATCGCTACATTGATTTGATCTTGAAAAAAGAATAAACAGTGCTGGTTTTCCTGGCATTTTGGCAAAGACAGGTAATAATAATAATAATAATAAATTTTATTTGTAATGCACTTTTCATTTGCGAACAAATCTCAAAGTGCTACAGCAAACCTATTTCAAAAGTAAAAACAGGGGCAAGAAAAGGAAAACGTAAAAACAGTTAAGTTCAGCATTAGTTGTAGCTATTTTTAAATAGAAAAGTCTTTAAGCCTTTTTTAAAATGGTCAACTGACTGTGGAACCCTCAGGTGGTCTGGCATACGTACCTTCGCTTTGGGCCCCCAATTTGCTAAATCCGCCACTGCCTGGAAGTATGAAAGGGCGCCTTGCAAAAATGACAATCACCTTTTTCGTCTTCAGGGACTGTTTTGTCAGTAACCGCTTTGAAAATCAGGTAATTATGAAATGCACTGAGAAGGCTGAGTGCTTTCAGAAGTTTGCAGACCAGTGCTTAAGATATCTGAAGCCGGGTGTGTCTATCTGGAAAGGAAGATGCCGGGTTTATATTTCTGGGAAGGAAGAGCGCACACAGGCAGTTCTCGAGGGAACTGACTGTACAAATTGTGAGCATTTTTCTCACGCACGCTCGGCTCTCATCTGGATGTGAGGTTCCCAGATGAAGCTCGCCGATCGCCTTGAGAGGGGTGTAATCCTTTCAGACTATGCAGCGGCTGGCGAGGGTAAGCTGCAGGTGGATGATGAAAGTTTGATGGTAAAAGTAAAAAAATAAAAACTTAGTCCGGCAGCGAGTGCTCTTCCGGACAAACAGGAGATGGCTGATGAGGGTGGTGATAATCGGATAGATCCTGCCCCGTGTATGCTGAGCTGGTTGGTGTTATGGAACGCGCTGCAGTTGCCATGACTGCTCGTTGGCGGAGAAATCGCTCTTGATGTGAGGGGTTTTTCCCCGGTCATAGAACCACCAGGTGAGCCTTTCATTTCTTCCCGATTTCATACTGAGATGGACATGGAAGAACCCATACTCTGCCTGTATCCTGTGATCGAAACAGTACATGTGGGTGACATTTCACTCGCTTCCTCTGATGCTCAATCTCAAAAGAAGACCAGAAAAGGTAATAATAAGAAAACTACAAATAGGATGACCAGAGTAAGAGAAATATCTCTTTAACTCTTTTTGGTTGATGTACATTTTTTTATTTTTCTGTTGTTTTGGTTAAGTTGGCTTGATTTACATTTGAATATACGTGAAACTCTTTGCTTTTTGCCTTTGCATATTCTGATTCTGTTTCTTCTTTTTTTGGTTTTCTATTTTTGCAAAGAGTTTTATCTTTCTTTTGGGGTTCGGTGTGCAGTGTATTTATTTTGTGCTGCTTATTTGATTTCTTATTAAATGAAATTTCATTATTTTTTGGTATTTTTCTAGTTTGTAGTTTGTTTTGCTGCTTAGTTAATTATTGTAACCTGATTGAGATCGGTTTGGTTTATTTCCTGTATACTGTTAAAACCAGTTACTGTATTTTCCTGTAAACTGTTGAGCTCAATTTGGTTAATTTCTCTGTACACTAAGATTCATTGTCGTGCTTTTGCATCTCTTTAACTCTTTTTGGTTGATTTATTTTGTTTAATTCATGATTTGTAATTTGGGGGCAAATAGGCCTTGTACATTTCTTTTCCAGTTTTGTTAATTCTTATCTTGTTGGGTTTTTTTGTTTAATTTAAAATCAACATAGAGCAATTCAGTGCCTTAATTATTCTGTGTGCTTTTTTTAGTGACTCATATTAAGATTGCTCTGTTCTTGTGCCACAGGATCTGGGGCCAAAGGCAGGGGGGCCGGCTCTAGTCCCTCTAAGTGGTGGTGGTGTGTTCTTCACAGTGTGCCGTGTCCATCTGTGGAGTAGGGTGTGAGTGCGTGTGGTTGCGTGCACTGGTGAGCGGAATGATTTCTCTGTTATATGTAGCAGACGGGACCTATGTCCGCTTAGTAGGGGTAAATCACTCTTCCCTGAATGGCTGGTCCCTAACCCCCAGGCCTATTAATCTCGTGGCTACTCTGCCCGCTCAGTAAAGCACAATAGCTTAGGCTTTAGGATTTGGACATGTCACGGTGGAGACCTAAAGTGCAGAATATCAGTAGCCTAACTGTCAGTGTGTGTGTGACTGTTAGGGTTCTGCAAGATATGGGACCCAGACGCAAATGAGCAGACAAGGTTTTTATTAACAGGACTGAAGACTTGAAACAGCAGGGAGTGAAGCGTGAATCACAGTAAAAACAGTAGGGCAAGGCAGACGACAACGACAGGCAGGATGGATGACCACTGAGACCGTCAGTGTTTATGATGTTTACATTATATCTTCAACTAGTTGAAATGTTCCTCCTGTAAATGTATTTCCCTTTCAAATGCGCATTCTGATTAATACATACATTTATTTCCAAACTAACCTGACGAAGTCCAGTGCTCGTCTTCTCATTAACAGCGTTTTTCTCTTACTGATCATATTTCATACCGGTTGAATTTACAATCCTAAACTGATTTTTTTTCTGATAAACATGGTTAAAATATGGCTGATTTTTGGTTACCATGATTTAACTATTAACGTGTTGTTTTATTTTGTATTTTATTTGTAGTAAAACCATGGTCTATTATCGTAAGAGCAGTATGAAAATAGCTGAATGAATGTCTTAAACTACCGTAAAGAAATGTAACGATCCTACAAATTGAATTCCTCTTAACAGCCTAACAGTGCGACGAATTTTGGAATAAACGTGTGAATTACATACAGTGTAATGAAAAATGACTGAAATATTTAATACAAATAAATAAAAATATGAATTTTGATCTTATTCATCAGTGCTCGCCTCATACACACTGCAGCGTTGTGGTCACTATTTAGACGAGCACTGACGTGGGGTGAAATTTTCACGCATGTTTAAGAGCCATGGCTTATGTTAGATTAAAAACCTACAAGTTCCTTTGAGTTTGAAAAATCATGTACACAGTAATCATCAAAATATCTCTTCTCCTGTCTCTTAAAATGAACACCCGCAGGATGATTTACAAATCTGGACATTTTCAGAGGCGTTTATTCAACTAGATGTTAACAAAAGCACATTGAAAATACATAACCGGAAGAATCGATACACTGCTTCGACGAGCACTTCCAGTAATCAATTCTGCCGTGATAAAAGTCTATAAGTAAATTACCGTAATTAAAACTTACCAGCGTAAGCGCGATACAGAGTAGATTTGACACTACTGCGTCCTAGTGCCTTTGGCTTTCGTACCACGAGTTAATCCGTGGGTTCGGGACGAATCCCCTGTATCAACACAAAAATAAATTAAATTCAGTTGCAAGTCTGAGAGAGTGTATCAGTTTAATTCAGCACACAAGTCATATTGTAGGTGTACATCCTATGCAGGCAACCGCTGCTCTGCAAAATAGAAGGAAACAAATGTATACTGAAATGTGATGTGTGAGTAATTCTAGAATTGCATGTATGGCTATATCTGAGGGACCCAGACACATCTTATATTACCATGTGAACAATTCTTATGGATGAGGTGTAGGATATGGATATACTGTGCAGAAACATCTACACCAGAATCAGTATTCCAACAGTGTGCACTTACAAACTTTAAAGACACAACTTGCATCAGACAAACTTACCTGTGTCCTTGGACGGTGCCATGATTGAAGCACACCGGTGCAGGACAGTGGGGTTGGCACAGTTTTCAGCCCCATGGTGCTGTAGTGAGCCGTTTGAAACAGGAGTGCAACCACATGGTTGCATAAAGCCATTCCAGCAGCACACGAGCAGGAGCATCCATTTAACTCCACAGGTCTAACGGCATGCAGCACAATCTAGAAACTGAGAACATTTACTTGAGGGAAAGTTTGGATGTTTAGCCTATACAGTAATTAGCATTTATTTGACACTACATTATTGTAAAACTAGGTTGAACAAAATTAAGGCAACAGCCGAAAAAAAAAAAAAAAGGTACAGATCTGCAACAGCAGATATATGGAACAACAAAAAGAGCATCTGCAACAGCAGAAGAAACAAAAACATACTGAACAAATGCACCTGAACCTTTGTAGGTCTGAAACCATGCTCTATTCACTACAACACATTACAAGTTTGGGGTAATTTGGTACCGTAATTTGGTACTGTAGCACTGTCTGGATCCAAACTGTAAATCTGATGAAATCCATCAAGGATCAGAAAGATTAGGCTACTATCTACATGATGTCCTGTTGATAAACAAAAGACTACAGAAAGCCAGTAACGCATGTTGACGAGTAAGGTAGGAACTAGAGCATGATTTCGGCCTGAACTTCCTGACAATCAATGTAACCTGAAGTGTATGTGGCTCTTCATTCTTTCGCATAGAACGGTAGCAGCTCGCCTGCACTACCACTTCCTCACTCACTAAATCTGACACTGCATTAAAAGGGGGAAATAGTCACACATCATACTGAAAAAGGATTAAATGTTTAACCACATACAACTTAACCTTTGGCTGTGATTCTTAGGGCCCGTCCACACGAAGACGCGTTTCGCTGTATACATTTTATCGTATTGGCGTTTCGTCCACACGGATCCGGCGTTTTGGGAGACTGAAACCGCTATTTTTTGAAACCGGGTCCCAGAGTGGATAAATCTGAAAACGACACCCTTGCGTTTTCGTGTGTACGGCCAATCCGTATATTTTGTGAAACGATGATGTCATCACCCCACGTGTCGACTAGTCAGACACTGCTCACGTAACAGCAACAAATCGAATATCGTGACTCCCTATTTTGTACCAGGCCATTTATGGTTGTTCAATAAAGTTCTTGGTAAAAAAGAAAAGAAGAAGCTACTGTGCCTAATTTGTATAGTATTTTTTTTTTACTGTATATGTATAGTAGCCTACAGCGCGCAAGGTTTATGCGCATGCTCTAAGTCTTTTTCTCGCATTTTTAGTGTATCTCTATGGCAGAATTACAGTGCCACATACTGGTCTGGGATGTATACTACATCGTTTTGACTCGTTTCAGGAGTAGCATCTGCCTGCAGTCCCGGAGGCTGCATTTTCAGGACCCCACTTCTAGGACCGCATTTCTAGGACCCTAGTTTTTTAGTGACAGCGCCACCTACCGAATTAGAGGACCAGCGAAGATGGATGACATTCAGAGTGTGAGTATCAAATGCGAATCAATTTTTATTTGTTTAACTTTAAAAACAATTGTGATGCATTTCATTGGAAAGTTAACGTTGCCAACGTGCTGGTGATTTGCTAAACAGTCTTGAATGCATAGCCATCATATATTAGCCTCTAATGCTGGAAAATGAATTGTTGAACTGTTGCATGATAAGCATGTGTTGACTTATTTACAGCACAATAAACTGTAGCATGTTCGTTCTGAAAGCTTGTTAATTACTCATTGTTTTTCCATTTTAATTCAGTTAAAATAATCTTAATGTTTTCACTGTCACGTGCTCACAGTCAGCCTGTTTAACGTTACCCACAATACATGTTATGTGTCTCTTCATTTTGACATGGTTTTATAAAGTTGGTAGTGCTGCTGCATACATCACAATGTGTGCTTTAAATATTATATATGGTCAGGAAAAGTCGTGTCAATAATGTTATTTCTATTCAGGTTTCTTGCATCTCTCTCTATCATTTTTTTCTCAGTTCAGATGGGCTTTATTGACATGAGTGTTTCTAGAACCTTTGTTCCCACAACATCAAAATATTGTTTTTCCCCCCAAATCTTTGAACAGTATGCAATAATTGTATTATGAACATTAATTGGTATGAAGATTGATATCATTATTTTTATCATTACTCTGTGGTAACTAAGATCTTTTAAATATGAAATTTAAAATTAGAGAGTAGAACATGTTCAACTAAATGTTCCTTATTTAATTCACTTCTCTTTCTCTCTCTTAGGAGTCAGTGATGATGTTGTCCATGTGTTTGTCCATCCATTGCAGTTCTGTCTATGTGGTTCACATCATGATCAATTTTGTTTTTGTGTGTTCAAGTTCAGTTGTTATATATTATTTTGTAAAATATTTAGTGTGTTCAAGTTCAGGTGTTATATATTATTTTGTAAAATACACAATCTTAAATCTACCCCCAGAGTCATCCTTGTCTTCCCTCTGTACTTGAAAATGTGGTCCATCTAGTGACTGAAAAGGCTATAACATGATTCCTTGTTTATTTTACTTGAGTTATTATATAGTATGCTACTTAGACCCAATCATTCATTTCTCAACATTCCTAGGAACCTGGTTTAATTGCAATAAAGAAAGTAGTATGTGGGTGTAATACAACTTTAAAAAAAACTCTAATGTAGTTCAAACTGGGTGGAAATACTGCCTTGGTGGCACTTTTTTCGGTCCTCCAAAACTAGGATCCTGGAAATGCGTTCCTGGGACTGCGGTTCTCCGACTCGGTAGGTGGCGCTGTCACAAAAAACTAGGGTCCTAGAAATGCGGTCCTAGAAGTGGGGTCCTGAAAATGCCAATAGCGTCTGGCTGCAGACAAGTGACGTCACTTGCACTCTCGGACTTGCACGCTCAGACACGAGCGCTTCCTCTGCAAGTGACGTCACTTGCACTCTCAGACACGAGCGCTTCCTCTGCAAGTGACGTCACTTGCAATCGACGCCTGATCTCTACGGAACGCGATCGTAATAGTCTTTAAACGAAACGCGTGAAATTTGACCGCGTCAACACGAAGTGTTTGTCCGCGGCAATTTTTTACGTGTTTCTTTTGAACGCGTAGACACGCTCATTTTGGTCGTGTTAAGGTGTCATTTGTCATTTTGTTGACAGTTTTTTTCAAATTGCTAAAACACTACAAGTGGAATTTGAGGCTCACTCAGTGAAACCATTCACTCATGTACCCAATCTTTAGACCAAGCCTGCAAAAATACAAGGACATTATATGCTTTGCACTCAGTTTGCATTTGAAAAACAAACTATTTGCAAAACTCTAAACACATTTCTCTACATTACACACATCATTCAAAACTAACAGCTCTTGTGTTTCATTTGGGAAACACTGGCATTTAAATGCCACATTAATTTACTGATGACCTACAGCCAATCATGTGGGAAAACACTTGTACATAAATTGATCACTTAGAAATCAAAACTCAGTTTTGAGAAAGAAAGAAATTGATCACTTAGAAATCAAAACTCAGTTTTGAGAAAGAAAGAAATTATTTTTACTATTATTATATATTTAATTATTTTCAAGACATTTTGGACAATTTCATGCTCCTAACTTTGTGGGAACAGTTTGTAGATGTAAAACATCAAGATGATGCATTTTTTTTCTTTTTATTGTAAATGTCAATTTACAGTTATTACACACAGTTAATGTGCAAAACAGACAAATACAAGGTAGAAATAGACAATATACAACATATATAAAAACACATTAGCACATTATTCACTTTGCTCTAGTGTAGTTCGACAGTTTACCTTTAATTTCATGACATCGACTACATGTTCAAGAAACATTTGCATGTCATTCATTACAGTAAAGATGAAGCAAAAGGGTTCCAGAGCATCGATTCTGTCCTGTGGAAACTCAGCCTTCTCTAATCTCTCAATGGCTTCCGCAACGTCTTGTTCCTCCATACACTCTACTTTGGGCAAATGAACAGAACCATACAGTGCACTAGATTGATCCAAACACCACTTGCTGGCTATCTTCAAATCTGGCATCAATCGACTCTGTGAAATAACACGGAGAACAAGGGATTGCAAGTGACGCCACAGCCGGTAGCGGAGAGCAGGTGTCGACTGCAAGTGACGTCACTTGCAGCGGAAGCGCTCGTGTCTGAGCGTGCAAGTCTGAGCGTGCAAGTCTGAGAGTGCAAGTCTGCAGCCAGACCCTTCTCGAAAATGCAGCCTCCGGGACTGCAGACAGATAATATTGCGTTTCAGTGGTTTCGTGTGTACGCAGATATTTTTGGAGACGGCGCCGTGTTTACGGAATTTATTTTTAGAACGAGGGAAAAAAAATATCGGATAGGGAACGCACCGGCTTCGTGTGGACGTGGCCTTAAACTGCCGCAACGGCATTTCGGAACGTTAATGTAGCCAAAGTGATCATCAAAACATCGGGTCATTAACGTTAGCTAGACGTTACCTCAGGCAAAAGTTTAATGACCACTGACACTGACATACTCAAGTGAAAGCAAAAAAGTCACATTGTTCGAATTATTCAAATAGGATACACTGTATTTGAAGTGAACCTATCTAACAAGCTGACGAATAGCTTACTAAACATAACAAGCTAGCGATAACTCGCCAACAGAACAGAATTCAAGCTACTTACCTCTATAATTGAAGACAAAATTCTCGTAGAAGAACTTGTATCCTTTCTCCAACTTGGATGATTTTACCTTTGAGTGTTCATTCACGAGTCGCACCACATCGTCTTGGCCAACTTTTGGGAGATGCGAGAGCGAAGTTGTCCAGCAATTACAGGCAGCCATTTCGAACGCAATAACCGGAAGACGCAGTACACTGCTTCAGCTATTTTTGACGGCTACTTCCGGCGTTCTATTGTGATGCGATAAAGGCCTACATACCTATTCTCAACCTTGTAAGCATCGTTTCCGAGATTCCTCCTGTCGTCTATAGTAACATATACAATTAAATCCCAATGAGTTCACACCTCAATCCAGAAGATGGCGGTAATGCACTTTGTTTGCAAACTGCCAGTAAAAAACCACAGATGAAGAAGAAGATCCTCATTGAGAAGTTTTGTGTTGCTCTGGTGAACATCTCTGAGCGTTTCTTCCTGTGGTTTTGTCTTCTCGTGGATTACTCTTGGACTGTTTATTCTCTTCGTGATTCTTTGCTGCCTGTCCTGTTTTCTATTGTGGACTGATTTATGTAAGTTTGCTTTCTGCCCTAAACTTATGCCTGTTTTCGGATTACGAGTTGCTTTGTCTACTGTTGTGTTTGTTTAAAGCGCGTTTAAAAAAAAAAAAAATCTCCACATATCATTTTGGTGGATTATGTTTTAGCCATATCTGTGACCTGTGTAGAATAGATGAATTGCAGTTATTGTTAGGGAGGACGGTAATGTGTCTTTTCTAATGCATCCTTCAGCTGAAAGACAGTGAATCTGAAGGGTGTGTGTGTGTGTGTGTGTGTGTGTGTGTGTGTGTGTTTTGCACGATAGTAGGAACAAATGACATTGCGTTATTTTATTTTTCTGCGATATGAAAGCAATTTCACCAGATGACTTGAATAGCTCTATTTGGAAAGAATGAATCATTCATTCTAGAATGACTGGGATGATTTTGTAATGAAGTAAATTGGCATAGAAAGTAAAAAAATACAAGTATAGATAAATACAATAGAACAAAGCCTCTTTGCCTCTTTTTTTTTTCTAGGCAAATCTAACTGTATCCAGGTACTACGGAAGCGTATTGCATTCACTTGAGGAAAAAAATCTACTCTGTTTTTCTGAATTAACGAGTTAATTATCTCAGAATTACGAGATAATTTTTCATGGAAAAAAGTTTTTGCTCTGTTTTTCTGAATTAATGACTTAATTATCTCAAAATTATGAGTAACTCATTAATTCATAAAAACAGAGTGAAAAAATGTTTTTCAAGAAACAATTCTCTAATTCTAATTCTGTGATATTAACTCGTTAATTCAGAAAAACAGAGCAAAAACTTTTTTCCCATGAAAAATTATCTTTTAATTCTGAGATAATTAACTCGTTAATTCAGAAAAACAGAGTAGATTTTTTTTTCCTCAAGTGAATGCGCTTCCGTAAGGTACAGAGTCAGACATTGAATAATCAAATGTAAAATAACACTGCATATAGTCTTCACTGTATAAATTAAATATAATTAATAGGGCTGGGGTAAACGATTATTAATTAAACGATTAGTCTGTCGATTATTTTATCGATTAGTCGACTAATCTAACGACTAATTGAACGATTCTTTTTTGTAACATGGAAATTGCAGGAGTGCACATTCAATGCACAACAATTTTGATCTGGTTCTTACAGAGTATCTACACTGTAAAATGTTTGGTAGGCTACTCAAATGAGCCCTATCACACTTGGATGTGGTGCTCATTTTAATGTTTTCAGTGCTCTTTTCAGTGCTCATAAAAAATATCCGGACTGATTTTTCGGTTTTGTTGATGGGGGTGGGGTTTACATGCGCTTCATAAGGCACACACGCACATTTGCACACACACGCGCAAGGTCTCTCGCTCTCTCCCTCGCTGCGCGCGCTACACGGTTTGGAGCTCGCGAGCTCTAGATTCCGGGAGATTTTAACTAATTTGTGGTCATCAGGGACCCGCTATCACTATGCGGGAGACTTGGGATGTCAACTCCATTTGACAAAGAGCGCAAATAACGACACCTTTACGTTTGGGACTAAATTTGAAGTATTCCCATACCTTCGATGATTTAGTGCGAGCTGGGTTTTTTTAGGACTTTTTCTTTTGTTGGGACTTTTGCATGGCTTTGTTGTGAATTCTGTGAAGAGGTTGCTGTTTCGTCCTCGATTCTGCAATGTTTCGGTCTCCCACGTGTGTGTGGCGAGCTGTGCCGCCGGGAACGGTGCAAAAAAATAAATACATAAATAATTAAAGAAGCGTCGACAAAAAAAATATGACGTCGACGAATTTTTGACGTCATCGACGCGCCGCTACAGGCCTAATAATTAATTTAATTATCTTTGTTAAAAGTACACCGTGCCCAGAGCCATAGAGAGAGCCCCAATAGTTCCAAAACATACGCGGGCTGTCATGTTCTTCTATGGGACAGACAGCCGCGATTGCATTATTGAACGGTAAATATAAAATAAAACACACACCCAAGTACTTTTTCAGCTGTTACTGCATTATTGCATTTTGTTAATGTCAGTTTTGCATTTGGAGAGGCAGGGTAACAACGAAATACTGTATATTACTTAGATACGTTTTAGGCTTTATTTTGGAGGTTAAAGCTTGGTGTTCATGTTCGCATGGGTAGTAGCACTGGCTTTACCAGCTTTCATCTGATGATGCACGTCTCATGATATTTATTTTAGCACAACTGTGCTGTATTAGGCTATTGATTCCCGTGGTCTTGCTTTATTCCGATTCAGCCATAGCCTACCTTCGTGATCACGCAAAGAGGTCTGCAGTGGCGGTCCGTTTAGAATTTCAACCAACATTAAATATAAATAATTACACTGTGCATGTACAAATGAATGATTTTGGAGGGAAATGGACTGCTCCCATAACGTAGAAAGCAACGACTATATTTGCAGCAATGTTCGTATATTAACTTCATAAAATGAAACCGGAGAGATAGTTAATGAGTGAATTAACTATGTTCCTAAATACGATCCATAACATGTATGTTTTTAACATATGATCCATAACTGTTAACGGTATTCATTTCAGTATGGCTAATGTACCCTTTCATCCTACCCTAATCATAGACTAAACCATTCATCAGAAAACACACACAAATACATATACGATGTTCTGTGTACATACACTACACATGTATATATATTTAAATCACACATAACTAACCCTAACCCATACACATAATATATTAATTGTGTATGTATATATACTGTAGGCCTATATATATATATATATATGAATGCATGTAAATTTATGTATATGTATTACACAAACACACTGTTGTAGCCAATTTTGATGTGTGTTTTATGTGTTTTGTCAGTAGTAAGTTGAATAGGGTGATGTTTTTCCGCTTGCACACCAGGGGGCATAGGTGGGGGAATCACAGTACTTATGGAGACTATATAAGGAAGTCACAGGTGTATGGCGTCAGGGAATTAGGATCTGAGGAAGCTCACAGTTTTTCAACCGTGCTTGTGTGCATGTGTGTTTATGGCTTGATGGATTCTGGTGTGTCCTGCAGTTAGTATGGTGTTTACTGTCCTTTGCTGATGTACGAACTCAACTTGCTTCAGAAGTGCAAGCAGCAGTGTTTTTTCAAGTAGTTTTATATACAAAATAAAGTGTTAACCGCATGCCATGGCAGACCTGATTATTTTGCACCATCACGCGTTGGAGATGACCTCATATTCCCTCTAGTGGCTTTATTTTTGAGGTACGATCGCCACTACAAAAGTTGAAAAACTACGCTTTAATGGACGGATCACGCGGATGTTGTAGCGCGCTCCAGCTGATTCCAATCAGTGAACGCCGACAGGACAAATGGGACGCTGATAAGTGAAAGTGGGCTAAACAACAACACGGAGAGCTACGGTAGGACTGTTTTTTGAATTGTTATAAGCTGTGTGGAAGAGATTGGACTTCTCACAATCAGGATATAGGTAAATCCTGCTTCAATTCTAAAAATAAAGCCTTTTGGCAGCTTGTCTAAATCATTATCAAAATGAGTAACGTGGATTTGAATGCATCTTCTGTCAATCAAAGTGAAATGGAGAATGAACTTGGTAAAAGACCAGTTAAACTCACGGTTAAAGCTTTAGAAGAAAAAATATTATCACATCAAAAGGAAAGGAACCTTAGGATAAAGAAACTTTACAAACTAAGAAAGGAAGTTGAGCAATTGATGCTTTCAAAAGAAAAGGTGCCTGAGGTACAGAACATATATGATACGTTTCCAAAAATGGTTGCGGAAACAACAGAGTTGCATGAATCATTGAAACCATTGCTACCACAGGAGGAAATGTTAAAACAAAATAAATGGTTTGAAACTCAAATGAACAGCAATACAGAAATAATTAGAGGGATTGAAGAGTGGTTGCTTGACAATAAGGAACAATGCAATGATGATGAAGTTGACAATATTGCGCAACACATGACTGTCATCACTGATGATATTGGTCCAAATGATAGTGTTTCCAATGTTGGTGGTAAAAGGTGTACGTCTGCTTCATGCTCCAGCCACAGGTCTTTAAAGTCATCAACCTCCTCTGCATACCTCAAAGCAGAGGCTGAAAGGGTCGCTCTTCTTGCTATGGCAGCTACATTAAAAGAAAAGCATGAACTGGAGGTACAGGAGGAACAAATTAGACAAAAGAAGGAGGCGCTTGAAATAAAGAGTCAAATTGCTGCTCATACAGCAAAGGTTAAGGTGCTTAAGTACAGAGGTTCTGATGTGCAAAGCTCGAGTGCACATTCTGATGGAATGAATTCATATCTGAAAAGGTCAAAACACAAATCCTCTCTCAGATCCTCTGCTATGGAATTTGTTCCACAAAGTTCAAGCCATCAGTTCAATCATCCACCAAAAGGAGGCAGCAAAACCACAATGTCAATGGAGACATGTCCACAAAGTTCAAGCCATCAGTTCAATCATCTACCAAAAGGAGGCAGCAAAGCCACGGTGTCAATGGGGGCACGACGTAAGGAAACCAGTTTACAACAAGATGGAACAAATGAGCATGCTCTGGATTACAAAACAAGTATGCCTCAAAATTCTCAGCAAACCAATCACGCCACATATCACACTCAGAAACCGGCTATGCTTTCCACGCAGGAGTCCATACAGCGTGATGATTTAGTGCAAGCCAACGTGGGACAAGAAACTCAAAATCTTCTCACTATTATGCAAAGGCAAAATGACATAACTGCCTTACTAGTGCAGCAGCAGTCTTCACTATCATTACCTCCAAGGGATATACCAACCTTTGATGGCGACCCTCTCAAGTACAGCACATTTATAAGAGCATTTGAAAATGGAGTGGAGGGAAAGACTGCTAGCAGTATGGATTGGTTGTACTTTTTAGAGCAGTACACCAAAGGACAACCTAAGGAGCTGGTCAAGAGCTGTCAACACATGCCACCTGAAAGAGGGTATCAAAGAGCTAAGGCACTTCTTCAGAAACATTTTGGAAATGAACAAAGTATAGCCACAGCTTATATGGAGAAAGCTCTGGGATGGTCACCAGTGAAATCAGAAGATGTTAAAGGCTTGCAAGCCTTTGTTTTGTTTCTACGGGTTTGTTGTAATGCAATGGAGGACATCAGTTACATGACAGAGATGAACATGCCATCCAACATGCGTGCTATAGTCTTGAAGCTCCCGTACAAACTAAGGGAAAGGTGGAGAAACACTGCGTATGAGTTGCAGGAGAGGCACTGTCGTCAGGCAGGTTTCAGTGACATTGTCAGTTTTATTGAGAGGCAAGTATCCATTGCCTCTGATCCACTCTTTGGAAACATTCAGGACACATCCATCTTGCCACCAAAATCTAACATTGGACATAAAATCTCACAGGTTCGCTTCAAAGGAAGGGGAAGCAGTTTTGCTACTTCTGTTGAAGCTGTTAAAACTGGAAACATATATCAAGTGCAAAAGGAGAACAATGTGACTGATAAAACAACTAAAGTATCGTGTCTGCTGTGTGAGGAGGGTCACATATTGGAGTTGTGCCCCAGAATGGAGAAGAAGCTGCACAGAGAGAAAATTGACTTTCTAAAAGCCAAAGGTGTTTGTTTTGGGTGTTTGACTGTTGGACATATGAGCAAAGATTGTCATAGACGTCTGTCTTGCAAGTTGTGTAACCTGAAACATCCTACCTGCCTCCACATCCATTCAAGAGAAAGGGAAATCAAATCAGAGGACACATATCAAGAAACAAGTCATGCAGTTTCTCCTAAGACTTGTGGCCATATAGGGGCCGGGGCGCAAGACCATGTTTTGCCAATTGTGCCTGTACAAATCAAGGCTGTAAAAGGCAGTAAGATGTTAAAAACTTATGCATTTTTAGATCCCGGCAGTACAGCAACTTTCTGCTCTGAACGACTCATGAGGGAACTAAAGGTGAGAGGAAAGAACGCCAAGATCCTGTTGAGAACCATGAGCCAAGAAAAGATTGTCGACAGTCATGTTATCTCAGGACTGGAGGTATCTGCACTTAATAGTAACACTTTCTTTGAATTACCTGATGTATTCACACAATATGAGATGCCTGTGACTCATGATAACATTCCACGACAAGAAGAATTAAGTGTCTGGCCACATTTACACTCAGTGGAAATTCCTGTCATCAACGCTGATGTGGAACTGTTGATTGGAAGTAACGTTGCAAGAGTAATGGAACCATGGGAAGTGGTAAACAGCAAGGATGGAGGACCCTATGCTGTCAAAACCCTATTGGGATGGGTTATCAATGGACCACTGAGAGGAGGCAACGAAACTGGGAGCAGCGATTCTATCATTTCAGTCAACCGAATATCTATTGCTAACATAGAGGAATTGTTGGTGAAGCAATACAATCATGACTTTAATGAGAAGTCAGCAGAGGACAAGCCAGAAATGTCCAGAGAAGATCTCAAGTTTATGGAAATCATGAACAGTTCAGCTGAACTCAGCAACGGTCATTACTGCATGAGATTACCTTTCAGAGAGGAAAATGTCACCATGCTTAACAACCGTCAGGTTGCTGAACAAAGAGCTCTTTGTTTAAAAAGGAAGTTTATGAAAAATGCTACCTTTAAAGAGGAATACACTCACTTTCTCAGTGATGTCATAAATAAAGGATATGCAGAAAAGGTGCCAGAACATCAACTGAAAGGAAAAGAAGGTAAAGTCTGGTACATTCCGCATCATGGCGTATACCATCCAAAAAAGGGAACATTGAGGGTGGTGTTTGACTGCGGTGCAAGCTTCAAGGGGATGTCACTCAATGGTCATCTACTTCAGGGACCTGATTTGACGAATTCATTACTTGGAGTTCTGACAAGGTTTCGTCAAGAAGTTGTAGCAGTGATGGCTGATATTCAGGCGATGTATCATCAAGTTAAAGTGACAACACAGGATGTAGATTTTCTTCGCTTCCTGTGGTGGCCAAGTGGTGAACTAACACAGCATCTCACTGAATACAGAATGACTGTTCATCTATTTGGTGCAATATCATCACCCAGCTGTGCTAGTTTCGCCCTAAGAAAAACTGCTGAGGACAACAGGGCAAAGTTTCCAGTACACGTGACGGACACAATCAAGCACAATTTCTACGTGGATGACTGCTTGAAGTCCCTGCCTTCAGAAGCAGAGGCCGTGGCCCTGGTGAGACACCTGACAACTGTATGCCAGCTGGGTGGTTTTCAGCTGGTGAAATGGATTAGCAACAGTAGGTCAGTGTTGGAATCTATTGATGTAGAAAAAAGAGCTAAGGAAGTGAAACAATTGGATCTCGACAGAGACAATCTCCCTGTCGAGAGAACACTTGGACTGCAATGGTGTGCAGAAACTGACACTTTCAGGTTCAAAATGGCAGTTCAGGAAAGACCACTGACAAGACGAGGTATCTTGTCTGTAATAAGCTCAGTATACGATCCCATAGGATTTTTAGCTCCCTTTACCTTACCTGCCAAGTTGTTGTTGCAACATCTTTGTAGGTTGAGCTGTGGTTGGGATGATCACATTTCCCCAAACTACCAACTACAATGGGTGAGGTGGCTAGAAGATCTAAGAAAGCTCAGCACATTTAGCGTACCAAGATGCATCAAGCCCAAAGATTTTGGACAGCTCACAAATGCCCAACTACATCACTTCTCCGATGCCAGCGAGGATGGTTATGGTACAGTATCGTACCTGAGGCTGCAGAATGACAAGAAGAAAATTCATCTTCCATTCATTCTAGGAAAAGCAAGAGTTGCGCCATTAAAGAAAGTGACAATCCCAAGGATGGAACTAACCGCTGCTGTGCTTGCAGTTCGAATTGATAGGTTGTTGAAAGCAGAACTACAGCTAGAGTTGGAAAATTCAACCTTTTGGAGTGACAGCACAACTGTGTTAAAGTACATTGGGAATGAAACAAAGCGTTTTCACACCTTTGTGGCCAATAGGATCTCCACAATAAGAGAAGCTACTGCTGTCTCACAATGGAGGTATGTCGATACAAAGCAGAATCCTGCTGATGAGGCTTCACGTGGGGTGAAAATTGAGTACCTTCTCACAAGCAGCAGATGGATCCACGGCCCAGATTTTCTTCTTAAGAGTGAAGGGGAATGGCCTGTTAACATTGTAGATTCTGTTTCTATCAGCAGTACTGACCCAGAGGTCAAAGGAGAGGCTACAGTAAATGCTGTAGTCATTAAAGATGTCCTAAATGTAACAAACACTGTCAACACAGGTACACAGAATGCAACAAACCAGTTGATAACTTACTTCTCTTCATGGAAAAGGTTAAAAACCTCAGTTGCTTGCTTTCTACAGGTGAGAAAGATGTTGCTGCTGTTGAGTCAGAAGAGAAAAGAAATACAAGCTTCTGTGTTTAGCAGTGGACTTGACATAAGTCAACTAAAGGGCAAAGTGGAAAAGGAGATGCAAAGATTCAGAACCAAACTGACTGGTCAAACCATGTCCCCAGAAGATCTTGAAACCGCTGAAATGGCTATCATCCAATACTGTCAACTAGACAAGTTCAATGATGAAATAACTGTTTTGAAAGGGGGAACATCTGGAGTGAAGAAAAGCAGCCATATTTATAAACTTGATCCAGTGTTTGAAAAGGGGCTTTTGAGAGTGGGTGGAAGGCTCAGTAAAGCAGCAATGCCTGAGGGCATGAAACATCCAGTCATTTTGGCTAAAGACCAACATATCTCCACTCTCATCCTTCGCCACATTCATGAGCAGTTAGGACATTGTGGAAGAAATCACCTTCTTTCTAGACTTCGTCAGCGGTATTGGATCACCAGCGCAAATGCTGCTGCTAGAAAGATTCTTTCATCCTGCGTCATTTGCAGACGTTTTAGAGGAAAGCTGGGTGAACAAAAGATGGCAGATCTGCCAACAGACAGACTTCAACCTGACCTCCCACCATTCACAAATGTGGGTGTTGACTACTTCGGGCCTTTCGAAGTGAAGAGAGGCCGCAGCTTCATAAAACGCTATGGTGTTATCTTCACCTGCATGGCCAGCAGGGCAGTGCATTTGGAAATGGCATATTCTTTAGATACCAGTTCTTGTATTAATGCACTGCGCAGATTTATATCCAGAAGAGGTCAGGTATCTCACATCAGATCAGACAACGGGACTAACTTCGTAGGAACAGAACGTGAGCTGAGAGAGGCTCTGTCTGCTCTTAATCATCAAAAAATTCAAAATGCATTACTTCAGTCAGAAGTGAAATGGAGCTTCAATACTCCTGCTGCATCACATCATGGCGGAACATGGGAAAGACTCATTCGCATGGTCAGACAGGTGCTGAACTCAGTCCTTCATCAGCAAAGTGTGGATGATGAGGGGTTACAAACTCTTCTGTGTGAGGTGGAAGCCATATTAAATGACCGTCCCATCACCAAACTATCAGATGATCCTAACGACCTGGAACCCTTGACCCCAAATCATATCCTTCTGTTGAAAGGCAAACCTGCACTTCCACCTGGGCTTTTCGAAAAGAGTGATTTGTACACGAAACGACGGTGGAAGCAAGTTCAGTTCTTATCGGATCTCTTCTGGCACAGATGGGTTCGGGAGTACTTACCTCTGTTACAGGAACGACAACGGTGGTCCAAGGACAGGAGAAGCTTTGTCATTGGAGACATAGTCATTGTGGCAGACTCTACTGCCCCTCGCGGATCCTGGTTGTTAGGGAAAGTACTACAGACATTTCCTGACTCACAAGGACTTGTGCGGTCTGTTAAAGTACAGACCAAATGTAACATTCTGGAGAGACCAGTTACAAAGATTTGTCTTCTGCGGGAAGCTGGATAGAGACTGATGTATTGGACATATGCATGTATACATGGACATTATGAACTGAAACCACACATGTGCATAATGGATGTTTTATTGGCTTCAATTGTTTGTATGATGTTTAATTGTTATGTTATTATAGAGTAACAATTAGGGGCCGGTGTGTTGTAGCCAATTTTGATGTGTGTTTTATGTGTTTTGTCAGTAGTAAGTTGAATAGGGTGATGTTTTTCCGCTTGCACACCAGGGGGCATAGGTGGGGGAATCACAGTACTTATGGAGACTATATAAGGAAGTCACAGGTGTATGGCGTCAGGGAATTAGGATCTGAGGAAGCTCACAGTTTTTCAACCGTGCTTGTGTGCATGTGTGTTTATGGCTTGATGGATTCTGGTGTGTCCTGCAGTTAGTATGGTGTTTACTGTCCTTTGCTGATGTACGAACTCAACTTGCTTCAGAAGTGCAAGCAGCAGTGTTTTTTCAAGTAGTTTTATATACAAAATAAAGTGTTAACCGCATGCCATGGCAGACCTGATTATTTTGCACCATCACGCGTTGGAGATGACCTCATATTCCCTCTAGTGGCTTTATTTTTGAGGTACGATCGCCACTACACACACATTTTGACATGCATATATAGGCTACACACATAACCCTAACCCATTTAAATAAATCAATTGTGTGTGTGTGTGTGTGTGTGTGTGTGTATATATAATAATATATATATATATATATATATATATATATATATATATATAAAATATTATTATTAATAATATTATATATTATATACATCAGGTTACCAGTTAGCTAACGTTAGTGAAGTGTTGGTCACGTAAGCTATAGCTGCAATTAACCTATTATCTTCCAATAAACATTAACTAAAACTGGCTACATAAAACATAACTACTGACTAGATTAACGCGAGGTCGGCTAATGTGTGTAAAAGTAAAAAAAAAAACAGTAATTTCATTAATTTACCAGCGAGCGTACTTCGGAAACACTGAAAATGAATGGGGTTCAATGCTGGAACTATCAGTGTTTGGAACTATTGGCTGCTCCACGACACTCGTTACTTCCGCATTACAAAGTTCCTATGGCGGTCTATGGGAGTGTCGCAACTCTTTCTCTCTATGGCTCTGACTGTGCCCATCTAGTGGTGAAATTGTATTTTGCATTCAAACGAATAGTGCTCTCTAGCGCCTCGATTTTTCAAATGCGTGTTGCAACTACGGTAGCCGTTATGTACCATAAAGCTATGACAACATGTAGGCATGAAATGCAACCCTTATTACATCAAACATAGCCTGTGATGCTATTCATCAAAGAGCCTGTTTAGCTTTTAACTATACATGTTCTACTGTTATGCTGCCTATATAAAAAAGTACACAACCAAGCAATGAAAAAAAGCTTGTAATTTAGACCGAAACATTGACTTACCTGTCGAGAAGAGAGCAGGCAGCTTCAGCGTCCCTTTCATAGTGTTTCTCCTTCATTAGCTCTTTCCACCTGGAAAAAGCTATCCCGACATTAACACCCGCCAGTCACGTTTCCTTTTACATTCAATTTTTGGCGACAAGGATTCCTTCTCCTGTGGCTCGGCATACCTATGGTCCTGCAATATAGTACCGTGCAGTGCAGCCTTTCAAATGTGCCGGGGCAGTGACAAGCGCCTATCACGATACTATTGGAGAGCTCAATTGGTTTCAGTCACGTGACCCTGGCTTTGAACGAAAATGCGTTGTGTAAACACGTTTAGGTAGGCTAACGTTAGTGCTTTTTGTCCCTCTCTGATATTATAGTTTTTCAAGATGGCGGAACCACATGGAATCCTCCATGGACTTACCCGTCCCATGTAAATAAAGATAAGAAATTCTTCGCTTACGAGGATAAGTCAGATAATTGGCAGAGGTAATTTTACACCAATGAATAAAGACATTGATTTTAGCTAGGGGTGACCCCGAATAGTCGAAGATTCGATGCTTCGATAGGAGGAGCCTGATTCGACTACCAATCTCACGGTCGAATCTTCGCAGATGTGTTATTAAACGAGGATTATGTCATTTTGGCTATATGAGTGTGGTCAAAGACTGATTTCACATAGAACTACTGGTTTTCTGTCAATACGTTAATATACAGCCTATTATGATAATGCTGTCAATAAAAATGTGCAAAGAAAGAAGCTTTTAATACATATTTTTTAACGTGCGTGCCGTGCAGCGTGAATAAATCCAAACACCCCGTGACAGATTTAAGTTTCACTTTCGATCCGTGACCGACAGAGGAGCGTCTTGTCGGCAGGGATTTAAATCTTTAAAAATGTCTGGGATAAGAAAATCTAAAGATGCACACCATCAGAAAGGATATTCTCCAAGGCTGGATTTAGCATCAGGAAAACCATGATCGCACTTCTGCCGGCCAACGTTAACAGGTTGGTTCTCCTCGGGACGTTCTAAAACGCTTAACGTGAAAAAAGCTTTTAAAACGCTTAAATGGCACTTTTACGTGCTTAATGTATGTACACAGTAGGCTACACACCTTAAGAAACCATTCTATTTGCAGATAAGCAGATGAACCCAGAATATGAACGCAACGCGTTTCTCCTATAGAAAGTCACGTAAAGCTTTTTCTTTAACGGTTTTCTATGGGAGGAAAATGCTTAACATAGCCTATAATAAAACGCGTTGCGTTCATATTCTGGGCTCATCTGCTTTTCTGTAGGCTATATAATATGCTTTATTAATAAGGTGTGTACAGAATTTGATCTTTTAATATAACAGTTTTAGGACCGTTAAGCGTTTTTCACGTTAAGCGTTTTTAGAATGTATTTTATCCGCGCACACAATTTGAAAAGACTCAAACGGACACAGGCCGAGTGAAAGACTGGATTTTGTTTTTTCGATCAGGTATGGGTACAAGTGATTCAAAACATTTCAGCCGGTTCTAATTTGATTTTTGGATACTGTGAACACGTTTAGCTAAAAAGACTGCCGCTCCAGTTTAGCGTTTATTGTTGTTTCTGCAGTTAAAAAGCCAAAGTTGACAATCCTGGCCATACTTTCGTTATTTTAATAATTTCTTTATTTTTATTTTATTAATTGATCACTCAGGGTGATCTAATTTAACTATTTGTGACTTGTGTTTTGAATATTTGTTCCCCTGCACTTTAGGCATTTTGCACACATTTGTTCTGCTTCTTGTGACTTGATTCTGACTTATTTCGTTTTGTATTTTTATTTATTATAAGTGTATATTGTGTTCTTAATTGTTGATTATTTTTCAGTGCATCGATGTTGCGCTGTAGGCCTAAGCTTAGAGCATGCTCGTACAGGCAATTCAGCCGATTTAATTTGATTTGCATGTGAAATGCAAATCCTATCTGCAGTGTGGCCTTTCTGCAGTTATTTATGTTATTTCTTAGTTTTATTGATCCAAAATGTTTTTATACATTTTCTTCTATATCTTTGTGTGATGTTCTGTACATCGCGGCTTTAAAATGTTAAAGCCCCGCCCCCTCCCCAACACCACACACATGATTCGACTATTAGTCGACTATAGGCAGGACTTGACGAATCTGATTCGACTATGAAAATCCTTAGTTGGGGACACCCCTAATTTTAGCTAATAAAATACTTAAAGGGTAATTCCACCGGTGGAGACATGAATATTAGGGGTGTAACGATACACGTATTCGTATTGAACCGTTCGGTACGAGGCTTTCGGTTTGGTTTTCGGTACGCATTTTTGAACCGAACGGTTCGTTGGACCATTTTTCCTGCCGAACAAAAATTCGTTATTTCAAATGTAGGCGTGTTGCGCATGGCAAGCGCGCTCATAATATAAGAGATGCTGGCGTGACTATAACATTGCCCAACATCAAATGGCAAATGTAATGTAAGTGGAACGAAACTGAGCTACTCGTTATTGTGTCGTTGACGGACCGTTTATCAGTTTGGACCAATGCAGCGCGAGCCGATCTTAATCAAGCGACACTGCTACACAGCGAAATCCAGTAAAGAATAAAATTGAATTCACCACTGAAGTAATAACATCGCTGCGAGATCTAGTGAGAAACATTCACATTAGGCATGTGCCGGTATCAAATTTTCATGCTGCGATTAATTGATTGAGCTTTTATCACGGTATACGGTATTATCACGATATTTTAATTGCACAAGAGAAACAGATGGATTGGGGGTATCTAAAAAAAACTTGCATCACAATGTGTAATTGTGATTGTCAAAACATTAATTTTATTTTTTAGTGACAACATGTTACAATGTTTACATGGTACAGTTACTGAGGCTACTGTTTGTATTATTGCTTAACACAATTTTCACGATTTCAATTAAATTCTTGGATTTAATTTCAATCTTGATTCAATATTGACTCATTTGGATAAATATTAGGTAGGCTACAGTAGATAGCCTGCATTTACATTTTTCTCAAGAAAAAATATCTCACATAATGCTGTAAACATACAGAGAGAAATTAAATATAATGCATACAATATAAATATAATAATAATATAAACATAAAAATGTAATATGCCGTTATTTTCATTATAATAACAATTATATAATGACAAGTAAACATATATTAAAATATGTAATATAGTGCACATATTTAGCAAAATACTCCTCTCTATAGCTATTTTCTTATAGTCAACTAACATTAAATGGCTTTCCTGAGGTAAATGTAACGTTCTGTGACATAATTGTTCTCCTGCAGTTTTATTGACCTCTTTCCGTGGTTGAAAAACACTGATTGATCGAAAGTACGTACCTTTCGGTGGGTTGTACTGTATGTTTAATAAAAAGTAACAGATGATCGGTTTACTTGAACTGAGGCGCGCCATCTGTCACGTCACATTTACAAGCAGCAAAACAGTATTTATTGTCTGAATTTCGTAATAAAATGGACAGAACCTGAGAGCTGATGTTTTTTTCATATCAAAAGTAACCTGCTCTGTCTAGTCTGTCGGTGTCAGTGTCCTCTTTGCTCCGCGATTTTTCTCT